ACGATGCGCACACTCCGAGTTTTTTAAAATTGTAATTTCATATGTTATTAAATAAACATTCTTTACAAAATTTTAATGCACATATAACAATGTGTGATTTAGAACAAAGTTCTCTCTCTCTTTCTCTTTCTCTCTAAGTATAAAAAGGGGGAGAAGTGAAGAGTGTAAAAGCCTTGTCTTAGAACTTTGAGCGCGCTGCCTACACACGCACGACGCTTTTGGGAACACCGAGGATCACGAGAAGGTCTCCGCGCTCTCGGTGGGAACGAAGTTACTTTTATATCGTCACGATCGCCCGTCACGTACCGGTAACTTCGAGGTTGATGCCTTCGCGAGAAAAAGCTCCGCCCGAAGTTTAAATATTCCCCGATACTTGGCGACCTGCCCCTTTAAAACCCTCTAGCCCACCTGCTTCACAAACGACGACGCGGACACCCGACGTGTACGGCGCGATATCGCGAGTGCTCGAAAAAGCATTAACCTCCTTTTTCCGACCTCGGTTTCAAGGAAGCTCTTTCGCGTGCTTCTTGGCGGATTCATTCACCTTAAGGCCATAGCCGTGGAAAATTTACTGGCATTTAAAGTAATTGAAAAAAAAGAGGAAATGTTTTTGTAAGAAAGCGCGCCTCGAAAACAACTCGGACGAGGCCACAGGGCTTCCGAATTTCAGTCTGTGTCACGGAGGGAAAAACGAGCAGTACGGATGAAGATTATCGATGCTTTAACCATGTTTTACAACGCGACAGTACGGAGGCTCACGCGATACGAGGTTAAACGAGCATCGATATGTCCGAGCGAGCCAATTTTAGTTCGCTTCTCGGAATCGGCGATCGCGTAAGGAATACGTGTTGCCGCTTACATAATCTCACTTCGAATTAAGTTCGCCGTTGTTCTACGGACACCGGGCTGCGCTACAGATGTTAATTTTTTTCTTTTCTCGCGTGATACGGACGATTATCGCGGGGGCAACGGCGAGTGTTACAATTATTCGCGAGATAACACGCGGAATAATAGATGTGGAAATTTTCGTACGGAGACCGTGTAGTTTAGTTTAGCAACCGCGCTCGTAGAACAGTAACGCGCGGCACGCAACGCGAATTCGTTGAAATAATAATGGGCTAATAAAATAACAAACAATGGATAGGATTTTAATAAAAACGCGAATGCAATTCTAACCTTTGTGTGTTTGCTAAAATTAATTTATAATTCGATTGCGCAAAACCGTGCGTACTTTTATCAATATCCGTCAACGAGTTACAGCGGTAAGCTGCACAGTTTTCCAAATAATAAATATGGAAAAAGCATATTCGCCAACGCGCGTGATTAATTTTCCGGGCGGCACAACATGGCAGCTGTACAATTTTCGCGATAGCGAAACTCGCAATGGAACAATAAACTAGTTTACATGATTTGCGAGACGATACTATAATAACACGAAAACCCGGACACAGACTCGTATCTAGTAAAATGCCAACTGTTAATTAATGCTTCCGTACGCTCGGGGTGGAGGAGAGACGGACAAAGACAGCGAGAAGAGCAGTCTCCGCGTAAAAGGTCAAACGATTACATCCGTCGCGATTTCAAATTATTTCTTTTTTATCGGACTCATGCAAAAAGCAAACGGAAATCCAACGGCGGTTCCATTGTCGGCGATTCTATTGTTTGAAAAAAACTTGAAAAGATTGAAATGATAATACAATCATAAAATCGGCTTTTACGAGTTACCGTTATTTAACCAGAAATCATATTCCAGAAATTACTTTGAGATGTCTCGATTATTACATATTCTTTATTATTTATCAATATTATCAATATTATATCCTTTATATAGATATTGCGTCTGATCAAAATCAAATTTAATGATAGAATAAGATGCCGCAAAATTATGTATAATTCTCACTTTTGTTTTCAAACTGTTGATTTATAATCGCACAAAAAATTGTTTATTATTCGCGGATCAAATGTGAACTGGATTTTTCGCACAAAGATTTTCCTTCGAAATAATATAGTTGATAATCCTTTTCCTATATTTTTAAATAGAGAAAAAAGTAGATACATCGATAGATAAGATAGTTTAGGTTTTGTGTTTCGTGGTAAGGCGATATTGCATACTTAAAATACCGTCTAAATTAGTCACATAATTAAACGGATAGAGTGTTAATAGAACGAACGATGTCTTTTCCTTAAAAGCTCGAATTGAGTAAACGATAGAAGATAAAAAATGAGTGTTGAAATGGTTTATCAAATATCTATAATATTCAATTAACTATTAATCTTCTGAATTCCGATGTATCATGTATGTATCATATATGATGCATCGATTTTAAACGAAATTAAATCTTCGTTGTTTACAATACATCAATTTTACATGAAATTGAATCTTGGTTGTTTATAATACATCAATTTTAAATGAAATAAAATCTTGGTTGTTTATTTAAATAAATTTTTTATTTATATAGAATTTAATATCATGCTTTTTTTTATTACCAAAGTACAATAATAATAAACACTATAAAAATAATTTTGCTAACAGTGCAACTTAAATTCGAGATTCAAAGGATTATAGGAAAACGATTGAAATGTCCATATAACGTGTCAGGAGTTTTTGATCAGCCCAAATTTAAATAAATAATATTGACATTTCTTCGATTGCAATAAAAGAAGAGTAAATCGCGATTCGATTATATGCCATCCCTGATTTGCACTCTGGCAATAATTTTTTCTTTGTTACAGAGATATACGTAATCGCGCCGTCGTTTTTCTGGACCGTTGTCCATGCAGACGGTATTATCGCGGAATGTGTAATCAATTTCGCGCATGAAACCGATTGCACGAAAGCCTACAAGTGCTCTGAAGGAAAAAAAAGTGGAGTTTCTTTGTTCTTGTATAGACAGCAATCGGCAGGAAAGGCTGCAGTACAATATACTCAAACAGGTGTGCGATTTGCCGATATTGGCCGGTTACGGGTCCTGCCCCGGAAAGCAGGCTGATACCCGCCACCAGCTATGATAGGACACGAAACTAGCTGCAATATGTTTTACGAGTGCAAAGACGGCGTAAAGATAGTGCCGTTGTTCCGACGGTTTGTGCTTTACATGTCGAAAATGCGTTGTGAATCGGAAAGATGAACAATATTAATTCTTTGCAATCTTATTAAAATGAATGAACGACACAGCGCCTTGCTACAGCTCATCAAAGTTACAGTTCAAACAATTAAATGCATGATTACAATTAGTACTATATTTTTCTGTATTTTGTAAACGTTTATGTAAAATTTGCTATATAATAAGAATTAATTACTAAATTCGTTTTTTTTTTATAACATTAAAATAAAGATGAAATATTTAATACTGGCTTGTTTGTATTATAAATTGCTTCGGATTGCAAAGAATTAAATCGAAAATTCACTGCTAAAGTCTTCGTTATAATCGATATTATAATAATGAATTGCCATTTTTCTGCGTAGAAGAAACGCGCAAGTTCTAATTGATTGGAGATTTAATCTTGATTGAAGATTTAATCTTAATTGAAAAATCCGAAAAAAAAGAAATAAAATAAAACTGAAGATTTGCAAAATTAATTGAATTAAGAAATTAAATACAATAGACCGTTTTGTTTCTTAAAAAAATTAATGGAAACGAAAGAGAGAGAAGTACATTGCTGATAATATGCTACTGAAATGAAGCTTGTTTTCTGATTAAAAGCGCTTTTTATTGCTCCATGCTTTAATCGTTAAGCGAATTTATTGAATGGCACACAGTTTCCATAGAGCAAACAATGACTTCCAGATGGGCAGATTGAACAGGATAATTAAAACCGATGTTATAAGATTGTGTACGCTTATTCTACCTCACATTTGGACAGTTGCCATGGATGTGCTATAGCGGAACTTGTCGCGAAATAGAAACAACGCGCGAGCAAATTGAATGAATCCTTTTGGCGCGCACGCGATGTATTCGCACAATTTATGTCTTGCATCATTTAACTTGATTAAATTCCAAGTGCAGACGCGTCTTAAAATTCTGCCCCGTGAATCTTTGCGCGGTAGGTTCTAAACAACAATTAAGGAGAAAATTAGAAGTAAATTCGCGTACTCGACGTTAGCAAGAAAAACGAGGACGAAAAACGGTATATTTTCATTTTTACATTGGAAAAATCACATGTGTGAACTGTTTTTCTTCTGCTTTTCTAGTTCTCTCAATTAAAACCATCGCTTCTTACACTTGAGCAGTGATATTTTACCTGGCTAAAGGAACCAATGACCGTTAGTAGTAGAAACAGTGTCTAAACCGACAGTAGTAGATGACGGTACGTCGAGTCCGACGCCGAGCTACCGTGTTTCGGTAGAACGATACTCGGCGATAGTTAAATAACTTGCAAACGGCTTTGCGTGATAACAGAGAAATGCACGGAAAGAGTTTAATTAAACAAATACATACGTAGTTAAGAAATATACCGAAGAATTCATATACATTCGCTCATTACACTTTTCCAATATTTTATACACGAAATCGCAAAGCCGTTGCGATGCAACTTCAGGTTGATGAGAATGTTTCTCCGATTGAAGAATCATCGAATGCTCGATTTCGATTAAATAATTCTGTATCTTCGATTAAATAATTAAATAATTCTGTAGTCGTTCAACTATGCAATGCCAATGGCGTTTGAGAGATCGCGAGAAAATTTACGATACCGAAATGCTTTAAAATCGGCAAGCTCGTTTACCGCGTAACGGATGGCTGTACCAGTAAACCACGTAAGGGGATACATCGATATCGAGCATTCAACGCAGTTTAAGCTTATCGCCAAAGCGAGCTCCAAATCCTCTTATCCGCGACACGTACGCGAGTTAAGCGCTCAGAATTAGCAGCGTGCGTGCTGCTGCCGTACAGGAAGGAATTCTAGCTCTTTCCCACCATCGCCGTATCAAATATCTTTAGAAGAAATAGCTCGCGGTAGAAATTGTCGCGCAAGGCATACATAAGTGACAAGGAACATACCTGGTCGGGCCGATCCAAGGTCAGGTCACTAGGCCGGGAACACGGTGTACCTGGCTTATCCTCGCTCCCTCCGAAGCAGTGTGTATCGACAGGTACGAGCGGCGCCGACGAAGCGATACAACCGGCCGCGCGCTCGTTCAGCCGATGCAACGACGATGAGACGTTGAAGGGACGTGGAGACAACGAGCGGGGGATGAACAGGCGTAGCGAGCAAGAGCGAGAGAGGGAGACTCGCCCTCGTTACGGGGATGAGACCGAGCGCAGGTGTTCACAACGGACGCTCGCCAGCGAGCGCGCGCGAAGAGGTGTGCGAGATGTTGAAATCGGCGACGTACCGTAAGCTCGTCGCGCGATTCCGTTGCCTGTCGCCGTTGTCGTGTGCCGTCAAGCGTCAAGCATTCGCGAGGAATGCGACCCGACCTAACCTTCTCCAGCTCCGCCGAACTACTGGCGGGCTTGAGCGCCCGGCGCTCATCACGCATACCACCACACCACCACGTTATCCCTTCTACCACCCTCTTCGCGAATGCTCGCGCCAAGCGAAGGAACGCCATCTGACCACGTTTCAGGTAACTACCATCGTGCATGCTACCGTCAGATAGCGTTGTCCGTCGATTCGTTAGATGACGCAGGCTGCCCATCAAATGCGCAAAAAAATCCTGCATCGGAGCAAGTCGGAGTTTACCCTACATGCGCACGTCGCTTTAAGTTTGGCGCGAAAGCCCACGGGCCCAGCTGGCGCCAGCAGCGCGCTGGAAAACAGAAAGCCAAAAACCGGTCATGAGAGGCTAGTTAACGACTGTGCAGCACACTCGTGGGTCCTGTTTTTTGACGGAATACTGCGATATTACGCGGACGCCGCGCACGTTAACACGACGGCCAGCCGGTATTTCGAAAGATGGGAGCGTACCTGTCGGAACCGATTACGAAGAAGGAGTCGAGCGACGAAGTGGGAAAGAATGTTGCGTACGGCGCGAGTTCCATGCAGGGCTGGCGAGTCAGTCAGGAGGTAAGCGGGAAGTCGTATCGTCGCGGCGGCGGCGGCAACGGTGGCGATCGCGCGCGCGCGTTTATCACACCGTTACCCGGTTTTGGCGAGTTTGCAGATCCGTACGATTCGTCGGTTAACCGGTTATCGCTCTCATTGCGACATGCTTGCCGACGCGCCCCGAACGCCGACCGCATACATTCGGCGAATGACGACGCCCGCGAGTTCCGGGCGCAGCATCGAACAGCTCGTCGGCGGCACATGCTGCTTTCGCCAATCGATTCATATTTATTTACTAATAGATGAGATATCTTGAGAGTCTTGCAGAATATCAGTCAATATTGTTGCACAATAGTTTTATTACAAATACTTCTTTTATCGACAATATTTCACAAAAACCTATGATAAAGAGGATCAGTTTTTGTTTGTAATAAATAACTAAGTTATGCATTGAAACACAATAGTTACTGTACAATAATTGTTTTATCTTATTTTATTTACCGAAGCCAATGAATGTGCTATCGGTGTCAAATCTAGATAAATCGGCTATCTGAGCAAAAACTTGATTTTGTAAGATGGGATTTTATACCAATACATGAATATAGTATTCTGTATTGAAGTAACAATTTCTACGATAAAGAAAGAAAGAAATCCTACCAAGAATAGATTACTAATAACAATTATTTGTTTATAGGATGCGCACAACTGTTGCATAGATTTTGATGAGAGTGTTTCACTGTTTGCTGTATACGATGGTCACGGAGGACATGAGGTGGCAACATATTGCGCACGTAATCTCCCTGACTTTATCAAACAGACAGAAGCTTACAAGAGAGGTGACATCAGACAAGCTTTAATAGATGCTTTTCTGGGTTTTGATGCCACTCTCACGAAGCCAGAGGTCGTCAATATTCTCAAAGAGCTAGCAGGAACGTCCATCTCGGAGAAGAAAGAGGCTAACTTAAATGAATCTGGTGCGTTACTTTTCATATTACGGATATGCATTTTTACAGGATATACTGTTATACAGATGATTTTGCTAATTATGCGCATTGCGAGCGGTAATTTATTTCTTTTGTTTACTTGTACGAGTAAACGTTTAATAAGCTTGTCTTCCTACGTTACATGGCGCACAGATGAAGAAGAGAATGTTAGTAATCTATGTATGGAGGCGACAATGCCGTTGGAACAAGTAATGGCAAAGTATCAGTCAGAGGTGTCAAATCCTCTTATAAAGAACCTGAAAGGTGAAAAATGCGGTAAACGTGCGTTTGCGAGCCCTTATCTGCGTGGACGCAGAGGACGAGAGAAAGCCAGTTGCTCGTCATCCGGTGCTGGATGTTCGACGTCGCCGTCACCACCACCACCGCCACTGTCATCGTCATCCTCATCATCATCATCGTCCTCATCTGGCTGGAATACAAATGAAACAGACGTCAGTAGTTCCAGTCAACCGTGTGGTTCGACTCTGTGCAGCACGGTGGAGCACAAGGAGTCTGATTGTCCAGGAAGCAATGAAGCCGAGCAAGTACTGGATTCGACAACGAGCAACGGCAATACTCACGTGTCTCCACCAGTGGGATCTACTGCGGATGCGGAACCTGCTAAGTCCATGGATATGCCAGACAGTTCAGAAGACGTGAAAGAAAAAATCTCAAGTCCCAGCAAGGTGCCGCCTTGCGAGGAATCGAATGCGAACGAGGTAGAAGTTAATGGCGCGGAATCGAAGAGAATCGGCGATGCGGACAGTAGTAAGAGTGGAGGAGACAACGTGTCGAGCAGTTCCTGCATTCCCGTGGAAAACGGAGATGCGGGTCAGCAAGAACGGATAACTAGCAGTGGCCGGAGAAGAATTCAGCCTGTGGATCTTTACCAAAGTTTATTGAAAAAGGAGAGTGACGATTCTGAAGAAGATGACGACGACGATGAAAATGATGAAACGTTTGATGGCGTTCCTGAAAGGTACAAGTTTGTAATACTATTCAATGTAAAAAATATTTTAAGTTCTGAATATTTCTTATCCAAATATCCCTGCCTTAAATCGTTTTGCAGTGACGAGGACGATACTGAAGACATTGACGATGATGAAAGCGATGAAGATGAAGACGACGAGATCGAAGGAGAAGATGTGGATGATGAGTCTGATGATGAAGCCGATGACGATCTCATGGTGAACACAGAAAAAGTATTTCATTTTTTTTTTTCTATTTGCCGAAACTTGTTTACTTATCGCGATTAACGATATTAAAAGTAAAATTAAGGAAGAAATCCAATAATTAAAAGAAAATTAAAAAAATTTAAATATATAATGATTTTCTGTGTAGCCTGGTTCTGATAGCGGATGCACGGCAGTCGTAGCGGTACTCAAAGGAAACGAATTATATGTGGCCAATGCTGGGGATTCTCGGTGTGTCTTATGCAGAGACGGTCAGGCAGTCGAACTTAGTCTGGATCACAAACCGGAAGACGCACCAGAGATGGAACGTATAGTAAAAGCGGGCGGAGAGGTGACGAGCGACGGTAGAGTGAACGGCGGCCTTAATCTCTCTAGAGCGCTTGGCGATCACGCATACAAGCAAAACATGGTATTGCCACCACAAGAACAAATGATCTCGGCCTTGCCAGACATAAGGCATGTTACACTCGAACCCGAGAGAGACGAATTTATGGTACTAGCGTGCGACGGCATATGGAATTTTATGACCAGTCAAAACGTCGTCCAATTTGTACGCACTCGCTTGTCACAAAATTACGAGAATCTTTCGAAAATCTGTGAAGAGGTATGTAATTGTATTATATAAATCGCGCTTTTCTCTTGGATAAATTTTGTCGTGCATTTTTATTGTTTTGCCAATTCAAATTTTAACCAAACAAGCACGAATGGGATAAAACATGTATATGTGTATATGTTTTTCTCCTAGAAGAATAAAATTTGATATATGTTACAGTTGTTTGACCATTGCCTCGCGCCTGATACTCTCGGCGATGGAACGGGCTGCGACAATATGACTGCTGTAATAGTTAAGTTCAAATCGCCGGCAACCGCAACTGTTAAAAATGACACTGTCGCCGAGGTATGCGTTTCGAAGAAGCGGTCGCCGTCGCCAGCAGCTGAGGAAAATAACGATTGCATCGCAGGAGAAAACACGGTAAATCCTTGCAAACGCGCCAAGACCGAGGCAGCTATGTGAATTAAATGTCACCCACGCGTCATGAACTGATCTCCGCAAGCGGACGAATGAATGTGAGTTTATGTAAAATTTATGCAACAATTTTTATATTATTGCATAAAACTGGATCAGTGTCTGTGCAACAGGCACGTGGAATAGTGTGTAAGGTGTGTTAATGTGTTGGTCGCTATTGACAGACTGCTCGATTGGAGCATGTGGGAATGATACAGTGATGTTTTCTCAAACGACGCATAAATCATTTTTTAATCACGGCGTTAAAAGTATGCATATAGAATGTCGATTTCTCTTAAGATCGCATTTTAAACATTGAGAAGTGGTTCAATATACGGGCTAATAATTTTGTCATATTTTGTCATGTATAAAATACTGATAATATAAATTATAACTCTCGAATTCACGAATGAATAAGCTCGTCCATTTCTTAGCAAGCATTTACCGATATAAAAGTACTATAGATAATACATATGCTTAATATAAACGTACAATCTTTTTCTTAAAATCTCGTAGGACTTGACATTATTATTAACTGTAGTTGCTTTCAATATAATTTAATGCATAACACTTTTGTTTATTAATTGAAATTAATTTTCTTCAAATGACGCAATGGTACTGATTAGAATTAACCCAAACAATAAATAAATAAATAAATTTTATTTTAATTTTATTTTTAGATAGTTATCCTATATAACTCTGCTACTGTCTTTTCTCTCTCTTCTTTTCCTCTTCATGAAATATGTAACGTTTACAAGATGCATCACTTTCCAAATTCAATAAATAAGAACAAATACAAATACAAATTTTATTTGAATTTAATTATTAATGATGTATATTTATATGATTTTGCTGCCATTGTGTCATTTATGTGTCAAGTTATAATAACCTTTCTAATTTTCTTGATTCTAATATCTATCTCTGAATTAATATATTTTTTTTATAATTAAACTCTCCTATCCTATATATCATCCCATTTGCTCCAGCTGCACTTATGACGTATATATTCCTTGAGTTTTTAGATTACACATATAGTATATAAATGTATATATTTATAAATGTAGACTATAAGATTTATATTTGTAAGTCAATACACACACATTATCTCTTATTTTTACGAAATAGAATTTATTTTTGAATCCCTGGGTATAGTGGTTGAATGGATGGGTGTGCGAATAGCCTTAAAGTGTTTAAACTGTATTATGTAATTAAGGCAATTGCGATAACGCGTTACCAACTTGTGATCTTGTATTAATAATTACAGAAATACGAAAAAAGACACATACTTGCATTAGACAACGTCAAGCTACGTGAATTTTAGAATAATCTGAATTTGGAAATATGTCAAAAAGATACTTTTTTTTTGTAAATTTATACAATCTTATATAGATGCATTTCAGCTTGGAAAGAGTAGCAAAAGTGTTTATATTGCGGAAAAAGAATTTTAAAACCGTAAATAAAAATGCAAATTCTGCAAATTTTGACAAATACAGTTGCGATGTTTTGGTGAATTCAAAATACTATATTATTACTTATAGTACTTCGATAGTATAGAGTACTCATGGTATCGTGCTAACTGCAAAATTTTTTTTTGATATTTTTTTCAAGAAACATGATATCTTTGTGGTATATTATAAGCGCAAGATACTTGCAGTATTCTGACAGATACAACATAGAGGCACATTATGTCTGGCAGAAAATTTATTTTTTGTGTAATTACTAAAAGAATGAAATGAATTGAAATTCAACTTTTTTATGGTAATTACATGAAACCGTATTTGATGTTAGATGTGACTGTCTATGTATACATCATGCATCCTCCATCTAATATCTGATATGAACACGAGTAAATTAAGAAAGCACACGTTAAGCACCGAGAAATATCTCTGTGAAACTTTGGTCTAAGAAAGAAGAATAATTGTAATTAAATTTATAAAGGAATTAATGTTATTACCTGAGACGCGCGCGCTAAACGCAGCACTCGTCGCATGCTTAAAAAAAAAAACAAGATTTTTCGAAGTTTGCGTAACATACATTAACCATAAATAGGCAATACTTTGAATAAATAAAGACTTACCGTCACGTCGTCGGTCTTTTTTACAGTTAAGACTCTTTCATGTTGTATGAAGGTTCTCAATTCGGACGTGATGCGGAAGCTGCGGAACCTTTGTGTTTGCATTGTAGAGATTCATATAAAGCTATGTTAAAAGTCTATGAAATGAATGTAGAGGATAGAAATGTGAGAACAGTGAATTGACCCAGTGACATGTTTGCAACATTTGTGACATTTTCCGCCAGTATACATATATTCATTCTGTCAATGCTCATGTGTAATTAGGCGGTTGTTAGTGTAGACAGTAATTTACAATCGAGAAAAAAAAAAAAAAAAAAAAAAAAAATTATTTATAATTAAATACAGAAGCAATCATGATACTTATGTAAACACCGTTTGTAAGGTGATCAGTAGTGTATCGATACTAGAAGAGAGCATCTAGTGTCATTCAGAAAGAACTGATGTGCCTTTCCAATTCAGGGGTTGACAACCTCCACAACATGTGTATGTACATTCGATTCCGTCTCAAGAAGAAAGGTTTGCGCCCCAAATACTGTCTTTAGCTGCAAACTCCGTCATACACTTATGTATAATATCTTGTTTCATAATACATGTCGCTCGAATCAATCTTACTGCTTATTTCCTTGTTCTCTCTTTTATTCTTTCTTCCTGTCATGATTAAAAAAAAAAAAAAAAAATATGCTGTAGTCAGCAAGGTGGTCTAAAATTTGTTCAAGTCTGCCTTTGCACCTAATAAAATTGACGTTCTATTAAATATATAATGCATGTTTTGCCCAAATAATAATAAATCTGCCTTTGCATGATGTGCTTAACTTTGGTACTTCGCTAAAATTCGCATCATTCGCTTGGTATTGTTATAAACTATACATATTCCATGTATGATATAATATTTTTAATTCAAACTCATTAATAACATGTGTAAATAATATTGTATCTCTCAGAATTTTTAAGGTACATAAATTTTGATATATGCTACTATTTCACCTGTTTGATTCTCTATTTATAAATGTGATACTGTTTATAAAAGCGCAAAGGCACAGAAAAAACTCTGTAGATTATTTTATTCAACATAGATATATTCGATTCAATATATAACGTACATGTTACAGACATGAATGAAAAGGTACAATATAAGTATGTAACGCGTTTAATAAAGGGTCCCTTTGTTAATTGTGGGATTATTGATCATATCTTAACATTAAAATACATGAAAATATTTGTATGTATTTTAATGATAAAGTATGATATGTATAAAATAAGGAAGAAGGTATATAAATATATATTATGTATACATATACTATGTCAGCGCGTAATCGCGATCTCTTTAGTTTCAATACATTCTACCTTTACTTATCTAACATCTTCAGAAAACTGAGCAAACTTACCTCTATTATTCTATAAAATGAAAAACTGTGGTTTCCTTACCGATACGATCAGTAGATATCGGATTACTCGCATTGATTTCCGAAACACCACGTTCCGATTGCCACTCCGATTCCATCATATAAGTGAAAGTATAACTTGGCAAGGAAAAACGATCGTCGTTACAAATATGAGAATTACACGGTAAAAAAATATTTTTGCAATAATGTATTGAATGTAGAAAATTCGAAATAAGCTCGTTTATTCAAAATCAGATATATCACGTGTTATTCGTTCGAACTCGATATCCTGAAATGTACATTTAATATTGAATATGTTTGATATTTACAATTCAATCGAAATAACAAAGTTGCGCGTTTAAAAAAAACGCATATCTCCTCAAAACCATAACTCTAACTGATATTGGATTTTGAGTTTTTCATTTCACTGGCAGTGTTTACTCCATATCATCCTTTAAGCAGTTTAATAGAATATTGAAGCTGCTGAAAAACGCAAGCAAACTACACATGATGCATTTTAATAATTTATTAAGATATCAAATTGTGCAAATTTGTAAGAAAAAGTATAACATGATAAATTTATTGTAATGACATTTGTAGGAATAATAAGCAATAATAATAACTAATAATTCTAGTGACAATAATTAATAATGATAGTAATGATGAGATGGTGATGATGTGATAACGATAATAATAATGATAATAATATTAATAATAATATTAATAATAATATTAATAATATATTAATAATATATTAATAATAATAATACTTACAACAGGTAACAACGCAGTCCTAGTTTTGCACACAAACCTTTTTATAACAGTTTGATAAATCTAAATGACTGCTTAAAAGTTGTTATAGAGTATAAATTCATAAATAATTTCATCAGTCACAGAATGGCAACTTGGACTTATTCTTTTGTCGCGGATTTAATACAACGATTTGGCACATGAATGATTTGGCGCGCGGCGCTATATTCTTTTTGTGATTTGTAGGCTGAAATTATTAAGGTGCCATTCTCATTCGCACGTTTATACACATTTACAAACACGCTTGTATAGCAAGAATAACAAAGAAAAAATTTTTAAAGACACAAATTTGTCATTCCGTTTTGTTAATTAGAGGGATGAAAGGAGCGACGTATTTCTTACAGGTATATTTAACAGAGTAATTATGTGCAAAAATAAGGTGTTGTGATGTATCGAGATAGCCTATTGCCCGACCAAAATTAACTCTAGCTTTTCTCGTGTTCCACGCGCAGAGACAAAAGGTAGAGACTCTGGTCGATAGGCGATAACCAAGTATTATTAACGTTTACGCTTCATAACTCGTGTCTTATTTTATATTGATTCGTGTCTTGAAAGAGCGAACGACGCTGAGGATCGCAGTATGTGGTGGATTGAGGACAAGACTGGGTCAGTTGAGGTTTTGTTTGTTGGAGCGAAGGCGGGCCAAACCTGAACGCTCGCCCTCCTCCTCATCGGATGTACATGGTACCGCTGCGCGCGAAGACGACGTTGCCTGCATTAAATCTTGATCCGGCGCATTCCGGTGCTCATATAACAAGATATTTAATGTTTCCTCGTATATCCGAGCTTCGGGAAATTCAACCTGAAGGAAGAAAGAAAGAAAAATTATTTCTTATGCAATTCTGAGAATATTACCAATATTGTTTCGCTGTATTATTGTACTTCTCAATATTACCTTTGTATGCTTTTTATCAGTCGTGTAGACGATTGAATGGCAGCAAACTTCCGCCACCTTACGACCATGTCCGTAAAATGTCCAACAGCAAATCTCACTTGAGCCAATGACATCTTTGATGAATAACACTCTACCACTGAATCTAAGTGACATTTTGTCGAATAACTCTATATTTTTTAATAGATTGTCATCTGATGTACTGCAAAAAATTAGATCTAATTAGTCAATTTTCTTTAATGAACTCTACTATCCCAATGCACTGTTAATTTATATTTAATATTACCTTGTATAGGAATATTTATTATTATGCCTATTAATGAGCAGCTTGACCACAGGCTTAGTAGTGCTGCTTATGAGTAATTGCTCTTCTTTTTGAGAGGTGATAAGAGGGACTCTGCAGATAGGCTCTGTTTCGCGTTCTTTGAATGTGAGCGCATTTTCACAGGATTCGACCAGCTCGCTGATGCAATAGTATTTTGCCTCAGTAAGTAGCTCTGCCATGTCTCTCGAATTGTCTGGTAATGGAACTGAACCGTCCCGCAAAAAGTTTAAGATTGTCCCAAAATGCTTGCCACACCGATCAATCAATATCCAGCCTATAAGACAAAAAACAGAATAAGTCAGAAACATGAATTAACTATTATATTGCATGTTTTAAAACTTTTAGATAATTATATAAAGTAGTTTGACTCATGTTTTTCATAATCAAACAGAATAATTAAAATTAAATTAGGAGCCTATCTCTTAATGCTTATCTGTTTCAATATACCAACGGATCTACCAATATTCTGATTTATTTCTCTAAACTTTCTACATTTTTATGTTAGTAAAAGCACCACAATTAGTCCTACTATTAAAAACATTCGAAATATAATCTAATGTTCAATAACTACAGCTTTTTCAGATATGTAAAGTAGCTTATTTTGATGATAACAAAGTTTCAAGCTAATTGACATTACAATCCGGTGCAATTCCGAATTCGTCTCGCGCGATTGTGATACACAGAATACCGAGGTATCTCACCTTCGGAATCAGTGAGCACTTCCATGCGGCCGCTGAACATAGCACGTAGCATGGTGTCATGTTTCTGCAAGGTGCCTATGGTGGTGTAATGGAGCGAACCTCCGACGTTCAGTTTAACATATTCCGAAGGACACTTAATTACCGTCTTATGCTCGCCCGACATAACGAACTTTGGCAACGAGAACCTGGCGGAGCCGAGGTGAGTACCAATGCGACGCCGTGCGGCGAAAAGAACGTATATCGATTTTGTCGACTGTAGTCCCGACTGTAGCGTATAACCAACGGATACCAGTAGGACCGTTTGCGTTTGCGACGAAGCGACGTCACAATGCGCGTGTGTTCGCGTTCAATGTTGCATTGATAAGTATTGCTCCTTTATATTCGCTGACGTCGAGAAAGGAAATCAGACGCGCGCCCTAACATATCCACATTTCGCTCCATTTTGCCTTACCCATCACTAACACGGCGAACTCCGCGAACACTAACGGCGAATGCGACAGCAGATCAACCACGGTGTATAAAACGATATCAAGACTGTTAACAACGGATTCGATCGGTTGTACAGTGGCGCCCTCATTGAGGGCTAAATCGAATTAATGACGACCAATCAGAATCGTGTATTTTGAATGAAGCACTTCATGTGATTTTATGGTTTAAGACTTAGAAAATGCGAGAAAATGGCTGACTCATTGGCGAAATACGGTATTTACATCGATGATTTGAGCAAAATACGCATCTTAGAACCAGAAGCAGCTAATCAAACCAACAAATTGAAGGAGGAATGTCATAATTTTGTATCTAGTATGTATACCAATTCAAGGCGGCAGCAAACGGCACAATAAACTTACTCAGTTCACTCTCCTAGCACTCAGCTATCTTCTCTGACCGCACGTTTATGCGTTACTGTTTAATTATCGCTTGTTCAGTGAATTCTTGCATAAAAAAATATCTTGCGCTCTCAGATAGCAATTAGTCATTTAGAATCACACTGAGGAATATCAATATTTGAAATACTTGAAATATTTATTAATTGTGTCAGAATGAAGTAATTGGTCATTAAGGCAAAAAGTATATAGATATAAATAAATAATAAACAATTTGAATAAATAAACAATTTGACATAAATTAGAAATAAAAAAATATGAATAATGTGCAAATGTAAATATTTATTTGTTAAATTTATATTTATATGTTTATCTAATATTATGCACGTATATAAAAAACAATTCAATTAAGATTAAACATAAGTTTTTAAAACCGTGTGTAAAAATTACACTCATTTTATTGCTACTTGCACTGTTTCTACAAGTTTAATTTTGCTTTATAAATATTTAATAGTAGTTAGCAATGCAATGATTGAAAGATTTCTCGTTGCAGAGATTACTGAATTTGAGAAAATATTGATAACTTCAATTAAGATTAAACATAAGTTTTTAAAATTAAAATATTGGATAATTTGGCAAAGGAAGTAGAGAAAGAAAAAATTAAGACAATTGGTGCACGAAATCTGTTACATTCTGCTGAAAAACAAAGAGAAGCTCAACAACAGCAGATGCAGGTTTTGAAATAATTTCAAAGAATTTGATAATATATATTAGTAATATTGATTGATCTCTTTCTCTTTATGTATTTTTGTTACAGGCATTAATTTTAGAAAAGTCCATGGAATTGGAACGATTTCGAGTAGAATATGAATCTTTAAAAAAAGTTGAAATAGAACAACTAGAAACCATTGAACACTTATCAGTGAACTAATATATCATATTTCAACACTATTTTCTCATTTATTGAACATTTTATTAAAAGATCTTGCTAATAAGTAATACAACTATTTTTAAATAAGTATTACTTTTTTTTATCTAAATTTAATTAAATAATTTCAGAATTTTTAAATTAATATTTTATATTTGGCGATATATTTATAGATCTTGAATCAAAATTGGTTGTAGAACTTTGATAACCGCAGAGTTATGTTCAGTCGCTTTATAAATATCACAACTATTAATGTTTAAAGAAATATTGCATATTAATTGTCTTAAATATCTCTTGTAAAATGTTGAAAATCTATAACAATTCGTTAAATATCATACAATGAGCAATGATCCACTTCAGCCAACTTCAGCGTGCTACTACAATCGTTCGAGATATTCTCTTCCCGCACATCGCCAAGATGGATCGGAGGGATAGCAAGCATATCATCATTCTCAAGTATGTATAGTCTTTATTTGAATCATTGCGTTAATTGTATTTTTTGTAATAATTTGCTATTTTAATTATAATATTTATGAAAATCTTTCGAATATAATGAATATATACTCTACATTAATTATTGTGGAGGTGGTACCAACCGTATCGAGATCATAGATCTCGAAATAAGGTTAGTTGAATAGAATGCTTCGTGCTGTTTGCAAAGTCGCATTTAACCACTTATTTATTGCGATTGTTAGTGTCTAAAGGAATATTACTAAAAATTGTCGCAAAATGTCTGAAAATCTTTTGTCGGTCTAAATTCTCTTTGCACATATATCATGTTATTTCTTGCATCGAAATGCACCAAAAATGTAATGAATGTATGATTATTGTTGAATTTGTATCTTTATCTATAATTTGCTATGCTAATTATAGATTTTTATAATAATTTATACGTTTTAATTGTAATTAAAATTTTGAATTTTATTTCTGTAATTATTGTGAAATTGCAGCTTTTACCATATCGAAAATTCGAGAATCGCAATTGCTCTTCGATATATCTCGAATCAGTACATAATTATAGAGCACACCACAGTCGCATTCAAACTATCCATTTTTATGATTTTACTGTTGGAGAAAATCTTGCAAGTGAATGATTTTATTGTAAGTACTCGTAAAATGTAGAGCATTTGTCATAACATGTTAAAATTGTATGATTTCGCCTTTTCAACTTGGACAATATTTTTGCGGGGGCTGATCTTTAAAGTCATTTGAAATAGTGTGACGTAAAATAGATGCCGTTTTATAACCTATCTAACGAACAATTGTTGATTTCGGTTTGTAATGTTTGGATGGAATTCGTGTCGCGTATGATTTAATAAATTCTATTAATGCGATTTGCATTTTATTCAACGTGTCTAATATTCCAAATGCGATAGTTGATAAAAATGGCGGTTACTATTGGTGAGAGTTCTTAATTTTAATAACTTTGTCATTTATTACAATCTAACCTCTAAAGTATATTGAGTGCAATTGATAGTATATCTAAAAATTGTAATATATGTTTTATTATGTTACAGATTCTGTGATCTACTTGTTTCTTGTTGCAATTTTTTGGGGAGTAACTAATCCATTTATTAAAAGAGGTGCAAGAGGTTTGGAAAATGTCAAGGCCACATCAGCTTATGGACAATTTATAAAGGAGTTTATATTTCTTATAACTAATTTAAAAGTTTGTCACATTTATTATTAACAATTTTATCAAGTAATAATTTTGTATTATGAAAGTAATATTTATAATTGTATTTCTTTTTACAGTATCTTGTGCCATTTATTGTTAACCAATGTGGCTCAGTGCTGTATTTCCTGATTTTGCAGAACATTGACATATCTCTGGCTGTGCCAGTTTCAAATTCTCTTACCTTTGTATTCACTGCAATCACAGGCTGGTTTCTTGGCGAGGAAAAAGTACATAGAAGTGAGTATATGTGAAATTATTTCCTTCTTTTTGTAGAAAAATAAATATAACGAATTATTTGTTTATAATTTGCTTTACTTTTTAGATACCTATCTAGGAATGATACTTGTGCTATGCGGAACAACATTGTGCTGTTGGGACAAGCTGAATAAAACTGTGGAATTTTAACTTGTACATTTAGGACTCCAATTATTATCCATACTTCATTATCCATCCCTTGTTTCACATTTTGCCGATTAATCCACACCTTATCCCGCTTACTGTGAGTACCACAATGATTAACACATACCTAATACCTTTCCAACAAAACAAATTTATGATACATATTTGATTTTGTCTCTGAATATTATGAATATTTAATATTAATGATATTGTTAGCTTATCTCATTTTGTTTATTGATTACAAAACATAACTCACTCTCAATTTTTGCATTTTTACGCATTTAATGCGTACATCTTATGCTTACAAGAAGAAAAGTAATGTCTATGTTAATAGGTAATAAGTTTTATTGGTAATTCCGTACAATATCGTCAATATATATTCATGATATTTACATGAAAATTATATAATGATCCATATGTACACACAGACGTAAGTAGCACCAAGTAGGAATAAGGATATAATTGTTGTGGTGCAAGATGACTATTCATGTCGCCGTAGTTAATTTGCCCACACATAAAAGCGTATCACATTACAACAGATAACATTAGCGTTGTGTGTTTCACTTTTTTACACTGTTGCCAAAAATAACGAAAGCGTCTCACAACTTGTGTTGAATTCCGCAACAATGTAATCGTGATTTGTGATCTACAAATATACAGCGACAAGAGTTGTATATATATGTATAGAAACGCGCGATAGGTTCTAGCAAAATTAATTAAAAATACGATTATTAACACAAGTATTTACATATAATAAGCATGCAGAGATGAGACTGATCTATGCACAAGAAAATATTCAGATTATTGCCATACGTAACTGCTTGTTTTATACTTTCTTGATTATCCGGATAAAAATTAAAAAACAATTTTTCTTTTGACTCTTATCGCACTAACGCTCATCGTCGAGAAGAGTATTATGTATTACGATATGTATTCACGAAATTTTTATTGGTTAATGAAGAGTAAATGTACAGTGTAGAAATGATAATGGCACTCTGATTCACGGTAAAATGAAGTGTTAATTTTTCGTGAGATGCGCAACGCATATGAAAATTTTATTACATAAAAGTAACAAAACTCAAACTTTTTATTGAGTCTCGCAAGAAACTCTTGCAAGACTCAAAAGTTAATACACAAAATATTAATTCACGATACGTAAATATGTTACGAATGCATTCTCATCATGTGCAGCAAATTTAAACTGTTAAATTTGGCAGAGAGAAAGCTATTAAAATATTGCAACATTTGATATTGAGAGGATTCTCATTTTAGGATACATAATTTATACTGAAACTTATACTTCAAGATTTTATATTCAACCGTATTTTTTTTTGCAATCTGTTACAAAGAGTGTTATTTATTTAATGTGTAAGATATAATAATATTAATTGACGAGCAACTTAAATTCGCAACTTCACGTGTGCCTGTGTGTATTTGGATAATTGTTTATTCTGTTATTTCTTACAACGTAATTCCATTAATTCGCGGTCAACATTTTAACAGCAATTTAACATGTCGTTGCTGCAACTATATGTATGCGCTACTCGGTTAAAGAATTAAAAATCGGCGCGATCGCGGTTGTCGCTTGCGACGTGTACGTTAAAAAGTATATAAGAACGGTGTGTATTATTGATAAATCGCGTCGTTATTAATCAGCGCGCGCCGGATATTGGCGCCTAAAATCGCCTACGAGATTAGGAATTACACTTATGAAACTCGAGACTAGCATTGATCAATGGCCGCCCAATTTAGGCGCGGGACTTCTTGCTCTTCAGCTTGAACCATCCCGCACTTTTATTCGGATCCCGTGGTACGGATGTAGATCTGCTCAATTCCGGTTTACCCAAAATCCGCGATTTGGTAGCCAGTGATTCCGTGGAGACGGTTCTATCCACTTTCTGCTTGTCTTTCGATTTCAATGTGCTACGGTTGATCGTACCTGCAATGATAAATGATTAATATTTGCTTTTTATAATAATTATGATAATCGCAATTTGCATTAAAAAATTTAAACACACGACAAAGAATGTACAGTGGTAATCTCTTTTTTTATTTATTTAAATTTTACTAATAAATATTTGTGAAAATTTAACAAACAATAAGCTTTAGGAAATAAATAATGAAATTTTATCAATTAATAAAAGTTAAATATTTTGCAATAAATTAATTTTAAATTTAAGTTGTGTTATTAAATTTTTTAATAAATTTAATTTTTTGGGAAATTAAATCATTTCAAAATTCTTAATAAAAATATATCATTCTATTTATTAAGAAGATCTAAGTGTCCAAAAAATCTAAAATGTATCTTAAAATTTAATAACATAACTCAAAATTAATTTATTGCAAAATATATAGCTTTTATTAAAAAATAAAATTTCGTTATCTATTTGTTGAGGCTAATTGCTTAATGCTGATTGTTCACAAATGTTTATTAGTAAAAGTTAAGTAAAGGAAAAAGGAGATTGCCATTGTAAATTCTTATCTCGCATTCTTTATTAGTATTTTAGGTCTACTGTCAGAATTAGAAAAAATAGATTTATTTACTATAGATAAAGATACGATTTTCTTATTTTTTTAATGATAGGAGAATTTACTGCTGTTTTTTTTTTCAAGTAAAAGTATTTACTTGTCTTGGAAAGATTATCTTTGCTTCGCCGAGCTTCCTTCCCTCGGCGACTGAGAGTTTCGCGGCTTCGTTGCCTACGTCTCATGGTCGTTATCGGTTTCGCGTGTTGTTGCTGATCGTAGTTGATCTCGAACGGTTCCCTGTAGTGTCGCGGCTTCCACGGTGCAAGGACGCTCACGCTCCTCGACACCGTTCTCGTATGCGATTGCAATGGCCGATTTAACTCCTCGCGACTCGCCGCCCTGCGTCGTTCGTTCGGGCCTGGTATTTCGCCGACTGAAATACAGATATATGTTATTTGTTTCAATCGACTTAAATTGATCAAATTTGTGAACAACTTTGAATCTCTGAACAGCTTTAGAATTTTTGAAAGAAAAAATTGCTATACTAAAAGTATAATTGTTCGTACCAGTAGCAGCGTGGAGATACACGACAGATCTCTGCGATCTCTGAGAGTTTTGACTTTGCTGGCTGCTGTCTCCCGTTGTACTCTCGCCCGAGGACAACGCGCTTTCAGCGAGTCTTGAAGGTTTCCTGGGGGACATGATACCCAAACGGTTCGAACTCGTGACATCACGCCTTGCGCAAGCGTGGTCGTCAACTCGTTTGCTTCTGAAACAAATAATATTTTTTTCTGGTGTTAAAATTACATATTATTAGAGTTGTGTGCACTATTTTCTTTACAAAGAAATTTTTAATTTAAAAGAAAACAAAATGGTTTTAAATGCTTCATAATTATGTTATAATTTAATATAATCGGAGATTAAAAAGACAACAGGCGGCAAAGTAAGAGTAAAGTAGCTAAAAAATTGAAAAGTACAAATACTAAGAAAATTAAATTTTTCTTTACAATGACGTGAATTGAATATAATAGTGATAAAATCGATTAGTTTAGAGTTGGTTTAGAGTTGGAGGGCAAACATTTAAATCACTCTCGTGCAAAATATTTAACCGGCGCGTAGTCGTGCATGCGCGGCTTATATTATAGCATTTACCTGCGGTCTCTGTTGGACGAGACGGACTCCTGATCCGTATCGCCGAAGAAGCGGAGATTCTTTTGCACGGAAACTCGTTCGGGCGCGGAGGAAGCTTCCTCATCCTCGGTGCCGGTCGTCAAGATCTCGCTCTCGGGTATTCTCGGCTTTTTATCCACCGGCTGCAAAGTTATCGACGCTTCATTATTCATGATCTCGGAGGGAGGGAGCGAGGGAAAAAGGGGGAGGAAGCACCAAATAGAACCGCGCACGGATCATTTCTGTATATAACAATTACGCCCGCTTATTCCAAATATCGATTTATCGAACGTTGTAATTTCGCGCACAGAAGACGGATTTTGCAAGTGCGATAGATTGAAACGTATCGCCCTAATGATATATTATTCGGCGGTGCTGTATAATTTTCATAGCTAAGCACACACTTGGCTCCTCAGTTTCCCGACTTTTACCGGTGGTTTCACCGGTCTCGCTTAACTTTGACTATAGCTTAGCTAATTCTTTATGAAATCAGCTCGTAACATCCTCTTTCTAAGTGTTTTGAAGAGAGTTTTCATATTATTGCATTATATCATTTTTAAATCTTTCAGTGCCGCAGTTTTTTATAATCTCTTTCTAGTAAGATTCAAATGCGAGAAATCTTGAATCTCAATCCGTCGCGATTATTAGATTTTCTCCGGTACAACAATATGCACATATTTCAAATAAAATTGATTATTATCTGCTCTGAAAATAACGTTATTATGCGCTTGGGATAATAAGATTAAGGATAAGGATTAAGGACGCTCCGCGTTACTAACGGATGACGCGTAAGTAGAATACAACGCGAAATATAGGAACGTAATTCCAACTCTTCTTTGTCAATTGTTCGAGATGAGCGCGGAGTCGGACGTAACTGGCCTCCATCGACGGCCGCGATTTTTCGGAATCCAAGTCTTTCTTTCTTTCTTCTCTCTCTCTCTCTCTCTCTCTCTCTCTCTCTCTCTCTCTTGATCGGCCAGGAGAGAATCTCTCGCGCGAGCGCGTACAAAGCCGTATTCTTCCCGCGGCTCGCAAAAATCGCGGCCTCCCCCCGTGGTTGCATCGCACGGCGCCTTCATGAGTCATGATTCTCCCCGGGCCGACTCATCCGATAGATCATCGTCCACGGCGAGATTCATACGCACGCAATCATCTCGAACGAGCGCGCGCGAGCGCGGGCGCACCGGCGCGCGGCTTTACGGGATACGCGAGCGTGCGCGCGAGGAGGGCAGCATCCTCTTGTCCCTTCTCCGCAGCCTAAGATCGGCGTAGAATCGGGACCTGACAGAGATTATTCCCGCGCAGACGATGGTCGGGGCGGCTTACGGGGCTCGGGCGAGCAACCTCCTGATCGGCACTTAATCTCGCGATTAAATTAAACCACAGAGCGCGGAGTTAGTTAAGCATTTAATCAAACCGGTAATTGGAGGTTGCGCTGCCCTAATGGCGGCCGCGCAGCGACCCGCGCTCTGACTGATGAATGCGCACCGGCCTGGGGTGCGCGCGAGATAACCACGGCACGATCCAGGAGAGTCTCAGTCCGCTCGTTATCGGATAATACTCTCGAAAAAGATCCCAGGCTCTTCTCTCGTAGGATGATTTGCCGCCGTTTCCGTTCGCGATCGGCGTTTTCCTCGGCGCGACGTCGACGATACCAAATACGATCCTCCTCGCCCACTTGATTCGCCGCTTTCGGAGAAAGATACGCGTTCGACTCGTTCGCCGGGCCTTGACGAGACCTGACCACTCCGTACAATTTCGAAACGTCCGAGATGACATCAACCGATATAAATATTTCGTCCACTTGTTTGTATCTTGTTATTAACGAGGCCGTCGGGCTCTTAATAAGGCGATATCGCGGGAAACGCGTCACAACAAAATTTGCCCTGTTGTTTATTAAGAATCTGATAGCAGCGTTAATTTTTTCAATTAAAAAATTGAATAAGCATTTCGTAATAACTTGTTTGATGAACCATTAATCGTAAATATCAAACGTCTTCTTGTATCTTAATCATAGAGTTTACTTAGTTTCTTATAATTTTTTATTTATTCATTGAACAATCAGATTTCGGATATCTTGATCGCAAAATTTAACTTTTCATGACTCTTTATTTGATTTTTGTTTAATGCAACAACAATTAATTTTTTTAACGAGAAAGTTAACACGAATCTTTTTTTCAACATAATTCTCCGAGAGATCAATTGGATCAATATTGCATAAAAATCGTTCGATTGATGAATGACGTATCCACAAATATACTTATGTCAGCGATGACCACCAAATCCTTGTAGTATAAATTGTAGTCAGGCATAGAAAAGTAGAAAAAACGATGCTTACCGTGGCATTGGATTTGTTCTTCCTCGAGAGAGACTTGAACCAGCCTTTCCTCTCCGCCTCTTGGCCCTGGTTGTCCCTGGTGAGGGTGTTACTAGACGCGCAGAAGGACTCTTCCTCTCTGGTAAGAGTGCCGGTAGATCTCGAGAGTCTGGTCGGTCTGGGCGGGCTCGGGCTGCCGCTCGGTGTCGATAAACGTCTGCGTTGACTGTAATCCTCCTGCAACGAAAAAAAATTACATGTTATATTCAGCAACTTGGCATCTTTTGAGCATACTTTATAACAACGCTATTATACTCGACACAACCCTACTGCCATTTCTATCCTTTCTCTCTAAGTATGATTTATTCCCCGATAGCTCACTTCCAACCGCTGTCCAATCTAGTAGGAATTTATAATCTGAGAATACAGCGGTCGTAGAAAGAGTACAGGATGTTCTAAAACTGGCAAATGTCCTTTTAATGATAGATTATATAACCAATTCGGAGTCGACTTTTTCTTAGCGCAAATGTGCAAGACATTGATAGTTTTAAAGTTATAAATGAAGTTTCAAGGAAACAAATAATAAAGCTATATTCTTTAGTTAATTTTAAGTAACTTTAATAAAGTTGTAATTTAAAAATTAATTAAAAATATATATAAAGTTATTTTAAAAATTGAAAAAGTATAATAAATAATGAAAAAAATATACTCAAAGTTAATCAGAAAATCTCGAATTGAAAGGACATTCGCGAGCTTTGAAATATATTAAATCCTAATTAGTATCGTCCACCACATGATCGTCTTTCGTTCTTGAGTGTCTTTCAGAGGAATCGAATCTGCATACATAGCCGTAACCGATCGATTCCGATCGCGAAACGGGGCATGAATCCCACAATCGCACGCGTTCGCTATTAAGATCCTCGAACCGATGGCGGAGAGAAGCATTAAATGGAACTTATTGTTGGGATAATTTGATCGCGTAACCGGATTCGACGGTTGCGCTTAAGTAAAATGAAGTAGCCCGAGATTAGATTAACCTTTTGAGAACCGGATTTAGATTGCGCTGTTGAAAAAATTATTTTTATAAGATACGTTAATTATATGATGTTCTTCTGACACAACGTTATGATGCAACAACAAAATTTAATTTCTATACAAAATGAATAACACACACAAATATGAGATTTAATTTCGTTTAAAATTTATGTATCACACATGATACATCGAGATTGAAAGTGTTAATCCTGCCGTTTATCAGAGGCTCCTGTAACACCGTGCGGTCCGTTCGTCTACGAAGTGACAAAGTTATGTGTCATTCGCTAAACGCCTTATTTATGTTAATCGCCGTTTCGCCCGACCGATCGCTGCGTCCTTCCAATCCGCTACTCATGAGAGAGATATATCATGGACGCGATGGTGCAGACCTCGCAGACCAGCTTCGTCGTACCCGACGGGCCTCGACGCCCTGGAAAAACTCGCCCCCTCGAACTGGAGAACGCGCGCGAGGATGAGCGCGGGCAGGCGGGCAGGCAAGGCAGGCAAGGCAGGCAAGCAGGCAGGCAGGCAGGCAGGCAGGCAGGCAGGCAGGTAGACGCGTGTCCGTTTCATTCCCGACGACGTCCACGTCGTCGTTATTATTATCATCGCGTTTTGCATCATCACCATCATCAGCGCTGCCACCTCCGTCATTTACTCTCGCTCTCGCGCATGCATAATGCCGCGCGCCGGGCGCACCACGGCTCCGGGCGCTTATCACGACTCTCCCCTGTTTATTCATCGGTATTCCGGCAAAGACCGCGCCGACGATCGTAATCGCCGAGGCCGCCGAGGCCGCCCGTCGCCGGTGCATGCCGCAACGTAACGCGCTCGGGAAACTGCACAGGAAGTAGTATTGCCGCGTAGTATCGCCTAATCGGAATGTTAATCTCTCGTAGATCCATTGACGCGATCGACGTGCGATTACGCTTCAGTGAAATCAGGACACCGCCAAGGAAATCGATGCGCGATGTCTCGTGCAGATAAATCCGGTATATCTTTGACATGCAATAATCTATCGTATATTTTCGGATGTAATTTCTTTCAAATCATTTCACAATTCTCCATCATTTTTATAATTCACTGGAGGAAAGTTATTTTTAAAATAATATTGCAATGTTCTTGTAAAACTGGAAAAAGTTACATTCTTTGCAATTATTTATATTTAAATTTTTTTGAAACTGAAAAATAATCATGTTTTATAGTTTTTATAATTTTTAGAAAACACTTATTCTCTTTGATAGATAGTGATTGCAACTTTTTTTTTCATTGAATTTTTCTATTAATCTCAATTACGACAGGACGGTATTCACCATTCCTGGCATCGTTTAATAACGAATGCATTAGCGTCAGTTTTCTAAAGGTGTTAGATAAATGATGTTAAGAAATGTTAACGAACAATATATCTCCATTATGCGTACAGCTATAATGGCGCCGCAGTCATTCGCGCGCGGACTCTCGCGTCGTCAGAATAGCGTATGTAGTTATCGTGAATTTTCTGACGGTACCCAGACAAAGTGAAGGAGCATCGCATTTCCGATGATCAATGCGGCGATTCTTTCTCTCTCTTTTTTCTTCCGCGACACGCCGAGTTACCGTGCGTGTTGAAGCTTTCAATACGCGATATAATAACATATCGCGCGCGATCACGCGCATATACGTACGTACCAGCCGCTTATATAAACTCTTAAATGATTCACGCACACAATGAATAGCCCATATCGCGGAATCATCTGCATAGTACAAGCACGGTGCGCTTCCCTGGTACTCTCCATATATACGGGCAACAATATCCCGCGTGCTTTCCATAACGAGTCGCGGCGCGCAACGACGACGACGACGACGACGACGACGAGGTCTACGACGACGACGAGGCCTACGACGACGACGACGACGACGACGACGATGACGACGACGACGACGACGAGGATGAGGACGAAGAAGAGGTCGAGTGGTGCTGAGGAAAAAGCTCGGGCTCCTCGGTACAGAGAGACGAGGAGGGCGGTAAGGGGTAGGCCCTAAGGGCATTGTGACCCACGCACCGCCCTGCTAACTCTTATACCGTCGTCCCGTGGCCTTCCTCCTCGCCGCGCGTTCTTTTCTCCTTCCTCCTCCTCATTCTCCTCCTCTTCCTCCTCTTTTTCTTCCTCCACAGTTTCTCTCCTCTTCCCTTCGCCTCCTTCGTTCGGGGAATGCGTTATGCAGCGGCTACTCCCTTGCTCCTCCGCGACTCGGCGTAGGCCGTCGTCGAGATTGGGCTAGGTCGCTTACGTATCCACATACGCGGGCGTGCATGTGCGAGCGCAAGCGCGCGTGCATCCCCGGCGCATAACTCTGCAACATTAAACCGCCCGCCGTAGGTCACCGTAGATTACGCATAAATTCCGAGGGATGCGATTTACGACGTTAACTGGCATCCTCCCTCCCGCGCTCGCCATCCAACTCCTTTCCAGATTTTCTCCCGCCATCTGCGCGCGCGGGCAGCCGCCGTCGCCGCTGCTGTCGGTAGGCAAAGAAAATCGGTCACGAGCGAATCGAGTTTCTTCCTTGGATCTTCTTCTCGTTTTTCTGCGTTCAACGCGTATTTCTTTAGGTGTTACTTCCAGTCGACACATTGTAAGAAGAAAATGGTCTCCCTTCTTTACCTTGCCTCTTACATGTTTCATTCTGTACTGTTAATCCAAAAATAGTGATAAACAAATAACGAAATGTCGCAGGTTCTTAATACACGGATATTTGAATGAGGACGACGAATTTTAGATATACATTCAACAGATTCGTATTTTCTTCTTTGGTAAATTTAAAATCAGTGATCATTCAATAGTGAATTTAGCAAAACTTTCGCACAACAAGATATCGTTAATGTATTATTAACGATTTAACTCATCAATCATTTTACTCACGAATTAAAAATATTTCTTACATTTGTCACATAGAATAGACACATATAGATTATTCGCTACAGGAAGTCATTAATTCTTGTCCAGCTCTATTACATAATATCTCTCTAGATGTTTATTTCAAAATGTGAAACGTAACCTTGATGTCTTTGAAGAGTAATCTACGATCTCGTTTTTATCTAATTTTATATAATCACAACTTTTCTTACTTTTGTCCACTTGATAAAAAATAAGATTAAGCATTTTTAACGGATTCCTTTTAACGCATGGAAACTTCAATTTAGGGCGAAATAGAGCCAGACGCTTAAATTCCGAAATTGCCCTCCCTCAAATTGGTATCATAATGTTTCGCGCATCGAGTTGATTTAGTCGTAAGGGAACGGCGGGGTAAAAACGACGCAGTAGGCCACGTCGTATAATGCCGATGGCGCAAGAAGTGTAATCGGGAAGAGAGAATCCCGGCGTTGTACAAAGGGGCATTACAGTAAGATCTGTAACGCGCAAAGCCGCAAAATAAACGAACGGCCGCGTCGTAATGGGTATCGGGGGCCCGGCGTATCGCGCGGGACGCCCCGACAGTGGTTCGCCGATGCACGCAACTGCGTAACCGTGGCCAAACATACACGGCGAGGAGAGGAGATCCGCGGCGGCGAGAGCGAACCAGGTTGGAAATAACCGCGATGAGGAAAGCAAAAGGGACGAAGGGAGTGGGAGGGGGACGCGCCGCAAGAAACATCCACCTTGAATATCGCCGGCGGAGGACGGGATGCGGTTTGACCAGGAATGCGCATCTGAAGAGGATCGCGCTTCCATGCGTTAAAAGGAATCCGTTACGATTTTTACGCCTGTCGCACGTCCGCTCCGATTTACTTCTCCGCTCAGGCGCGATGGGATCTGCGGAGTGTAGAGGACATTGGCTGGCGTTTAGAAAGTAAAACGTGATATCTCTAAAGATATTTTCAGGGAAATTAAATCTGAAATTAATTAGGCGGTTCTCGACAAAGTCAACACGGAATATATATATTAAAATAAATCGAAAATTATTATTATAAGACGGAATATATGATAAAATATAATTAATAAAGAAGGTAAGATGTTAATTAAAATTAATTGATTCAGGAATAACGTGATCTCTCAATGTCAATAGCATAATTTATAAATACTACGAAACTTCATAAACAACTGTCGGTTTTTCCACGATGTAATACATTCTGTATAGCCTGCGGCGTGCATTCCGTTTTATTGCATACCGTATCGATTGTATAAGTTTTATTTACGAAGCTTCTGGGAATCTATTTCGCC